GTGTGTGTGAGTGTGTGTTTGTGTGTGTGTGTGTGTGTGTGTGTTTGAGTGAGTGAGAGAGCGTGTGTGTGTGTGTGAGTGTGTGTGTGTGTGAGTGTGTGTGTGAGTGAGTGTGAGTCTGTGTGTGTCTGTGTGAGTGTGTGTGTGTGTGTTTGAGTGAGTGAGAGAGCGTGTGAGTGTGTGTGTGTGTGTGTGAGTGTGTGTGGCATCATTTACTGCAAACACACCGCAGGCTTCACATTGACTCTCTCAGCGTGACAGAAGAGCGGCTTTGAGCTCAAAGACTGCTGAGAAACACTTCTGAAACACAAATAGAGATGGAGGGAACACAAAGACAGACACTAAAGAATTCATTATCTGCTCATAATTATGGCAGCAGATATTATAGATTTATGATTCCTGCATATGGATGAACTGAAGGAGCCAAAGGAGGATCTCTCTCTCTATCTATCTATCATCTATCTATCTATCTGTATAGGTTATTAGATAGGAGGTCATTATGTAATGGCTCATTGGTGTGTATGTGTGTATATTATATATATATATATATATATATATATATATATAAGCGGTAAAAAGTTTTAAGATTTATTACGATTTTTAAATGTTTTTGAAGAATTCTCTTCTGATCCAATACACAACAAAATCAGTAAAATTGTGAAATATTATTGCAATTTAATATAACCATTTTCTATGTGAATATCTGTTAAGCTGTAATTTATTGCATATGGATGAACTGAAGGAGCCAAAGGAGGATCTCTCTCTCTCTCTCTATCTATCATCTATCTATCTATCTGTATAGGTTATTAGATAGGAGGTCATTATGTAATGGCTCATTGGTGTGTATGTGTGTATATTATATATATATATATATAAGCGGTAAAAAGTTTTAAGATTTATTACGATTTTTAAATTTGATTGAAGAATTCTCTTCTGATCCAATACACAACAAAATCAGTAAAATTCTGAAATATTATTGCAATTTAATATAACCATTTTCTATGTGAATATCTGTTAAGCTGTAATTTATTTCTGTGATGCGCAGCTGAATTTTCAGCATCATTACTCCAGTCTTCAGTGTCACATGATCTTCAGAAATCAGTATAATATGCTACTCAAGAAACATTTCTGATTATTATCAATGTTGAGAACAGTTAATATTTTTGTGGAAACTGTGATACATTGTATTTTTCAGGATTCACAGATGAACAGAAAGTTCAAAAGAACAGCATTTATTTGAAATAGAAATCTGCTGTAACATTATGCACTACTATTCAAAAGTTTGGGGTCAGTAAGAATTTTCTTTTTTTTTTTGTGGAAAGAAATGGATACTTTTATTAATCAAGGATGCATTACATTGATCAAAAGTGACAGTAAAGTCATTTATAATGTTACAGTAGATTTCTATTTCAAATAAATGACAAGGTTTCTGCTTCAGTCTCTGGTGGTTTGTGTTCAGTAAATCAGGTCAGTCTCTGCTGGCTATCTTTAAAAGCTCGTCCTACTTTCCCTCCAGAAACCACTGAGGATCAGAAAAGCACTGACTGAAGAATCCTTTCCATACAACAACACCAAAGTCCATAAAAACACCACTGAAATATCATAAAAATATCATAACAGTCATCCATACGACTCCTGCACTATATTCCATGTCATATGATGCTTTGAGAAACAGACTGAAATTAAAGCTGCATTTATCACTGATAAATTATTTTAGTATTATTTATATACTATTATAGTATTTATTAATATTAAGGATAAGA